GGAGCCGGCGTCGGCTTCTGCAAAAACATACTGCTGTAACCATAACATACCCAGTGGTGCTCCCTCTTTTCAAAATTTGCTATTTTTGGATCTAGCAATTTAAGAAACGTCTTACCCCGTCCTGCTTCAACCTTTTAAACTTTGTTAATTTCATTATTTTCATTAGCAATTTAGTAGCATTCCAAATTTTCCAGTACTTCTCAAGACCGTGGGCTGCTCACTGCACTACTCTTCTCTTAAACAACGAAGGATGCGGGGAAAGACGAAAGAGAGATGGGTGCCTAAACAAAACTCTTTCATTGAAAATTTCCAACTTTTCAGGCTATCCTGCTGTTCATTCGACTTTCTTGCAGCTGGATCCGTATAATTCTCCTTCACAGATACTGCAGTTAGTAGCATAATTTTGAAAGTTAAAAGCGCATGCGAGGTAGAAAAATACTAACTTAGACAGTTTCACTCGCAAAGCTAGATGGATATGTGTGAAGGCACTCCCTACCTACTGCATCTTTTTCATTTCGATTATCCGATGTGAACCAGTGGCATATATTCTATCCCATCGAATACAAATTAGTATAATTCAACGGTACAGTTTCTTTTCCCTTTCATCTCACTACAACCAAACGAGGCAAAAAAGGCGCCAACTTTAATTTAAGGCATAGAAGAGAACACAAAAAGTCAAACTAACAGTTATGTAAAATACAAAAAAAAAAAAAACACTCACAACAGTAAGCCATCCAAGTGCCTGGATTCCTTCGCTTGCCGCTGAGATGTGATTGAACAACGGTGTATTTCTCTTGGACTCTTTGAATGTTGAAATTTCTTCCATTAACTTAACGATTGGGCCAAGTTTCGCTTGTAGCTCGTTCGCTGGAGGCTCTTTTTGTCCGGCTGCTGCCCAGATAAAATTGCGCTGCTCATTGAAAAGTGTCAGTATTTTGTCACCCTGAAAGTATTTACCGGAGAACATACAATCAGTGTATTTTACCAGTAATTTCACTGAAAGAGAATTTTTGGAGCCCTATTTTGGAAAGAAAGAAATAACAAAGTTGGTAGAAACACTTCAAAATGTTACCACAATCTGTAAGTCGCCACCGATAGCAGTACTCAGTTTTTGCAGTCTCTGTAGTGGTTCTTCAATCACATCATCATACTGTACCACGGACGGTGGAGCCTCACACGATGCTGCAACAAATTTCCATGTACTAATGAAAAAAAAGCATAAAAAGATATTATGTTCTCTTGTAAATATTACAGGAATTTAAGGTAAACTGTTATAAGGTTATTCAGTAATTATCAAAAATGCTGTAGTTGCAAGCACTAAAGATATTTTGCAAATGCCAAATCAATGTCGGGAGCAATGATAAATTCAGAACTCGCACCACGCTGAACTGATCCGACTAGCGGAAGGTGGAACAGCAAGAAAAAGCATGACAGCGTTGTTTTGGTAAAAGATTCCGATTTTTTGAAAGAAGATGAGTACGCTACGTGTATTTTTATTTCCAGTAATGAAATTTTATTTATCTTTACTGCGATCCATACATCACACATTCCCTTTTTCGATCAAATTTTAAGACCCTAGACAGAATATGTCTGGAACTGCGGAAACATATTTGAAAGTAACGGCAAAACTACTTCGATTTATCCAAACTTCGTATTAAGAGTAATGAGAAACTTTTCGTTCTGTCCTCCCTCTTCTCAAAATTTAAATGATATTACACAGAGAATAAATAAATAGCAACGCGTACCAGGCTAGCCAGTGAGATCATGCGTTCCGTGCAATTCCGTCCTCCGAACAACTGCCTGTTAATGTACTTTAGTCTGTGCAAAAATAGTTGAAACGTTAAAAAAATAGTTAAAACTTTGATGCACTAGCACATGAAAGCTGAATTTCAAACCTAGAAGGGTGAATATTGTTCCAAAATTTCAATTGCCTAATTTTCTGGCTTTCGAATGATCTTTGAAACAAAACTTTCACGTGGTCGTACGTGAGAGCTTGGCATACTTAGGAAGTGAATTCGAGTTTGTGAAGCCCATGTTTAGGCAGGAAACATTCTTCTGAAATTTCTAGTCTCCTAGTTCTTCTGGCTCCCGAGATGATGATTTTTCCTGCCAAAACTCCCACAGGAACGTTGAAAATTTGCGAAGTTGCAAATGGGTAGGAGCGCCATGCTAAAATTTCAGCTTTCTATCTTTAGCAATTCACGAAACAATTTTCCTGCCAAAACTTTCACGGACCGTACTTGGCACCCAGGGGTGCGTGAAAGCTGAATCCATGTTTACGGGGGTCGTACGCTGATAGGGAACATCGCCGTAAACATTCAGATTCCAAGCTTTTGTGGATCTCGAGATAGTAATTTATCCGCCAAAATTTTCACCTGGCCGTAGGTGATATTCGAGAGCGCGAAAACGCTGAATTTCAATTTGCAAGGCCGCACTTGGGCAGGGGATCATTACATTAAAATTTCTGCTACCTAGGTTCCGTGGTTCCCGGGAAAATAATTTACCTGCCAATGTTTTTACGGGGTCGTTAGTGCCACTCGCGGGCAGAAGAAGGCTAGGTTTAAATTTCTTGGGTCCCATGGGCAGGGGACATGCCCGCAAAATTTCAGCCTTCCAGCTTCCGTGGTTCCCATGATAATAATTTTACCCGCCAAAACTTTTAAAGAGCCATACACCGCGTGCACGGGGAGGCTGAATTTAAATTTGCGGGGTTACACGTGAGTAGGGGACATCCCCCTAAATTTCCAGCTTCCTAGCTTTCCTGGTTCCCGAGTTGAAAGTTGCGGACAATTTGCTGCACATACATACACACACACAACCCCGTGACAATACGCGGGTTTTTGTACTGCTGTTACACAACACAAAACGCATAAAAATAATTCCGCTAAAAAGTAACTGCCACTCTCGTCATTCTGATATAAAAATGTGATAACATAAAAGGCTTACATATGTGAAACACTGTAACCGACGAAAGTAGGAAAGTGAACAACGGAAATTATGATGTGAAAGATGTCTGAAATTTTTTTCCTGATCACTTATACAGCTAAACTCTCTGTCAGATAGGCAAGGAATATTACTGCGAATGCACGATAAAGTAAAACTGCAGTGAGGCATGGCATTTTGTTCGCCATACTGACAATCGGCGGACATCGCATATCAATGAGTGGTGTTCGCTAGAAA